AGGTGGCGCTGTAGTCCTGCCACAAAGCAGCGAAGAGACTCCCGTGCATGGTTGCCATTGGTTGCCCTTCTGTTTATTCTCCGCTGTGGACGCTCTGGCTTTTTTTCTCCCTCCCCGAGGCAAGCGTTTGCTCCTGCTGTAATTCTCTCCGGTTTGCCACCAGCAGATAAAAAACACCTACCTCTCCGTCCCTTCCAAGGGACGAGTGCATAAAAAGTATAAATATGCCTTTATATAGGTATGGTCCTACACTATATTATTCAAATATAGCATGATAGGTCCACTTTAAAGTGGACCTATCATGCTATATTTGAAAAATATATTGTAGAGCCAAACCCATATAAAACATGTCTGTGAAGTTTTTTTTTCAAAATACCAAACAGTTCACCCGCTGTAGCCATGCCTCATACTGCTCAAACCCCTCTTTTGAAGCTCAGTTAGAGAAACGCAGATTTTGGGTCCATAGCTTGAAAAAAATAAATAAGAGGAGGCGGAGCTAATGCCTGATCAGAATTCTACCGGAGATAAGTTAAAGTTTGGTTCTATTACGTCACAGCGGATGGAATCTGTATCCACTCGTTGTGCCCCCGTTTTTAAAAGATTTCGGTACGGAGGAAAAGAGGGAGGGTTTTATTTTCTAACGCTGCGTGAGTTCCCCGACACACCGGGGACACATATTTATGTATAAAAGACATCACAAAGTGTATTTTGCATGATAGGTCCCCTTTAAGTACATTTCAAAGCCCATACTTCTTTACTTTTACTTGAGTAAAGAAGTTTAGTCAGTACTTCTGCTTTTACCAGAGTATCTTTAAACACAAGTATCTGTACTTCTACTTGAGTAAAGGATTTGTGTGCTTTTGCCATCTCTGGTCTGTTTGCAGCTCATAGTCTTGTTGAGACCCCAAAGTGTTATGTTAGAAACGCCACTACATGTATTCAATACCTTTAGTGACTTTACAAATTTGGATTAATCATGTGAAACATAATCAACTCTTTTCTACTTTTACTTGAGGAACATTTTGAATGCAGGACTTTTACTGTAACAGAGTATTCCTACACTCTGGTACTTCTACTTTTACTCAAGTACAAGATCTGAGTACTTCTACTTTTACTCAAGTACAAGACCTGAGTACTTCTACTTTTACTCAAGTAGATAGAATTGGAGGATGAAACCCTCTTTAATGGTCACACATGTTCATGCACACAGTGAAATGTGTTCTCTGCTTTTTACCCATCCTAGTACTAGGAGCAGCACAAGATCTGAGTGCTTCTACTTTAACTCTAGTACAAGATCTGATTACTTCTACTTTAACTCAAGATCTGAGTACTTCTAGTAATACTTTGTCCTCCTCCTCATCTGAAGGTAATCGATAAGCCGGTTCGAGGTGGTGCTTCTGGAAGGAATCACACGGTCGGGGGTCGGCAGAACATCCCGTCCCGAAACCGAATCATCGGGAAGAAAGCCGAGGGTCCTTACCGGCCCTTCCATTCCCCACTGAAGATGCTGGGCTTCCCCATGTACGGGAAGCCATTTGGGCTCCAGTGTGGAGGACCAGTGACCTTCAGCTCTGCCCAGTATAACTCCGCCCCCTCCCAGCATAACTCCTCCCCCTCCCCGTGTAAACCCTCCCCCTCCCAGCATAACTTCTCCCCCTCCAGTTCAGAAGGAAAATCCACAACAGGAGTCTCTCTCCCTCCTTCCAGCGAAGCTCCAGAGTCCAGTAATCCCGGTAAATAATGTCCTATATTTAAATGTTATGGTTGTTTTCTAGCTTCTTCAATCAATCAATACAAAATAACAGGCACTTCAATATCTTTGGGAAATGTACATTAGTGCAAGATTGTCCATAGTTACTAGCATCCTTACTAGCATCCTCACTAGCATCCTCATTTGCATCCTCACTGGCATCCTCACTAGCATCCTCATTGGCATCATTACTGGCATCATTACTGGCATCATTACTGGCATCATTACTGGCATCATTACTGGCATCCTTACTGGCATCCTCACTGGCATCCTTACAGGCATCCTTATCACTAATGTACATTTCCCAAAGATATTGAAGTGACTGTTATTTTGTATATATTGATTGTTGTGCTTTTATTTAGGTCTTAATGTGTGCATATGTATACATGTGTCTGTTGGTTGTGTATATATAGGTATATACATATTTGTATATATATTTGTATTTTTGTAATCGGGATTGTGGGCAACGGTATTTCGATATCTCTGTCTGTACACACAAACTGAAAGAATAAATAAGTATAACAGTGTTTATGTTTGCACCAAATACACGAAGAAAATGTTCTCTTGGCAATAACCCTGTTTGTGTTTCTGATTCTAAAGTTGGAGCCTCATCGTCTTCCTCAGTGAAAGACCAGGAGGACGAGACCCCGAAAGGTTGAACAACCCCATTTCACACTTGACCAACAATATCTCTTTAATACTGTGAATCCTGCATTTTCAGAAAAAACAAACAGTCAGAATTCTGAATAAATATTGTCTTTATTTTTAAATTGTTGCAACAGTCTTTAAAACAGTGTTTCAAAATGGCTTTTAAAAAAGGACAATGTTCTGCTCCTTGCTTTACAATAAACAGAAAAAGTGAGAATTCTGAGATTGGAGGAAAAAATCATAATTCTTGGATTTGAGAAAAAAATCTGAAAAAAATCATAATTTTTAGATTTTCTGAAAAAATTCATAATTTTTTGATTTTCTGAAAAATATCATTGTTTTGATTAAAAAGTCAGAATTTTAGAAACGGATAATAATTTGGAGTTTTTCAGAAAAAACTGAATTCTGAGTTTTTCAGAAAAAAGTCAGAATTTTGAAAAAAACCGTCAGAATTTAGATATTTTCTCTAAAAGTCAGAATTCTGAGATTTTATGAAAAAACAGTTTTAAAAACATTTTTTTAAAAAAAAAGCTTTTATAATAGTCCTATTTTTTTCCCCTTTCTTTAAAAAAAAAAAAACAGAAAGTTTTTTTCTTTCTGTGTCTTTGTTTACATCATTAACACCAAAGCAAATTTCTCTCAACATAGCAAAAAAACTGATTCTGATTCTCATGAAGGCAGGAAACGCCAGCTGCCCGACGACCAGAGCCCCGGCAACGAGACCCCTGCAGAACCCCAAATAGCGGAGGGAAACCCCAACTGGCACCCTGAGATGGCGCCCAGCTGTAAAGACGTGGTGGTCACTGACGTCACCTCCAACCTCCTCACCGTCACCATTAAAGAGTTCCCCTCCCAAAACACCGCCCAGTCCGAAGACCCCGAGACATAGGAGAGCACATGTTCTGAAGGAAAACGTACCGAGACCCAGAAAGTCTGTTTGCAGCTCATTTAAGAGAAGACTTTATTCATCCCGAAGGAAATTGTTTTGCCAGAGTTACAAAAATACAATAATCACAGCAATATGCCCTGTAGCGGCCTAAACCCCCAAAACACTCTTTCCAGAAGCCATTTTGTAACTATTGTCCACATAAGCTATAATGCTAATTAACACAACTTGTGCTAATTGTACAAAAATCCGGCAGTTTCTATGTTCTGGAGACCCTACTATACATGTGTATCGTAACACTTTGGGGTCTCTACACAGGACTCTATGAGCTGCAGACAGACTCTAAAGGGACATGGACAAAAGACAAAGCCAGTTATTTACAGTCACAGATACTGAGAGAATCACGGACATGAATTCATAGATCGATGCAGACTGGTTTACAGACTCTCTCGCTATCTGTTTTGCAGATTTATGCTGAGTGTTAATGCCTCGTGCTGTAAACACTTTTTAAAGCCCCTTAGACGAGTGTCATTTGTGATATGTGGCACTATGAGTGGTATATCGATAGTCCAAGTGCTGAAACAAATAGCTCTTCACCCGTGGCCGAAATGTCCTTAAAAGGAAGTCCGAGAGTCACAGGAAGTTGTTGCTTTTGTTGTCCATGTCCCTTTAGTACCTCGGTACAAATGCCATCGATGAAGGAGGACAAATATCAGTGTTGCCCCCTTCCTCCCTTTTCCCCTTAGGTGTGTTTAGTTTTGCAATGAATGAAATGCAAAGTATCCGAACACCGCCGAGCCATTGAATAGTAAAAAGAAGAGCATATGTTTTTTATAAGAAGTGTATACATTTGAAAACGGGCAGCTAATACGCCCTCAAATTGCCATATTTTGTCCACTTGCACACAGCACTGACTCTCTGACTCGTGGATGGAGGTGCCGTTTGTCTCCTCTCACACACACACACACACACTGGCTTCAGGTTGTGTGTGTGTGAGCTTTTATCAGCCTGAAGGAAACAAAAGCCACTCTTTGATCCACAGGGTGTGAAGCCCCTTCTTCCCTTTAGTCTCACATTGCATCCACACAGCGAGGTAATCACAACGCACTTGACTGCATCGAAAAACAACCGATTTGTATGTAGACGATCTGTAGTTGATGAATATTTGAAGGCCTTTTCCTCCTCCTGCTCTCTTGAACGCATATACATCCAGTATTTATATGCACGCACAACCTAAAAAGCTAAAACAGTAAGTTATTGCTCTCTCTCTCGCTCGCCTTGTATTCTCACGTATCCCCGCCTCCTGTCACTCGTCCGACTCGACTCTAAAAGTGAGTTTTCCTTCTTAGGGTTGGCTCTAAGGTCCACGAGCTGAACACACTTCAGGCCGAAGCTCCAACTGAACGCAGCTAAATCAGTGTTTTATGATTCAGTGTAAACATGTCTCCATCACTTTCCTCTCCGTTCAGCGCGCTGTGCTTTTATTACACGTCTTTGCAAACACCCAGATAACGCCCGACGTATTGGACTCACAAAGAAAAGCCCTTTAATACAAACACATCTCTAGGATTCAAACCATGAAGCAGCAGAAAGACTACGCCCTCACGCCCTAATTGATTGTATGTGTTACCATTTTAATTATCTCTAATAATACAGATATATCGGCCCTTTAGGATTCATGTATGAAACGGTGTTCGGTCATTATCTTGGGAAAATGATCCGAGGAAAACATTCATGGTTTTGAGATATGCCGAAAAATAATTAGTGATTGTGGCAATTTTATTCTCGAGATCAGAAGTTAATTATCTTAATTAAACAATTAGTGCATTTTCTCGAGAAACCAGGATATATAATTAGGAGTAACGGCCCATCCACACTACAGCTTCAAAAAAAGCTTGCCGGTGGGCGTGTCTGAAGCTCGACCAACAACCAATCACATGAATCTCCCGCCCCTGACACACAAGCAGCGGTTTGATTGGCTAGAGCTCGTACTGGCATATGATTTGATTGGCTGACGCTTCCACCGAAGGCTTCAGAAGCTTCAAAAGTTGAACATTGCTCAACTTTTGATGAAACGCCAGGAAA